ACGGGGCGGGGGGAGACCGGTCGGGGGGGCTGGCAGCGGCCGTGTCCTATTTTTAAGGGAAACGTTTCCTGATCAGAAACAGGTACGGAGCACGAAAGATAACCTGACACACGTCCACTCACCCACGCGCGACGGGAACCCCTGGCACCTGGCTGTTTTCATCCAATTAAAAAAGAAACTCCAGGTAGCAGCGGCGGGACCCTCACACACCCCTGTGCTGGTTTCCCTCTCTGTCACCTGTCACAGTGGGGGGGGGAGAGGGAGAGAATGGGAGGGAGGGAGAGAGAGGGGGAGGGAGGGGGAGGGAGGGGGAGAGAGAGGGATTGAGAGGGGGGCAGAGAGAGAGAGAGAGAGAGGGAGGGAGGGGGGGAGGGGGGGAGGGGATCGCTGTCATCACTCACTCTCAGCACGTGTCGGAGGGAGGAAGCTCTGGGAACCTGGGGGGATGGTGGGCACAGAGTGGCCGGCACGGGTGTGTGTGTGTGGGGGGGACTTCTCAGCATGGGGGGGGGCCCAAAGGCGTCTGGTGAGCAGGCGCTGTCTGAGCGAAGGCCTGACGGCTGTTCTTTCCGACCGAGCTCCTGGCGTCCATGCAGGTGGCCTGGGACGCCCTTTCCCTGTGGGTCCCCCCACCGCCCCCCTGCCTCCCAGTTTTTTTTCAAGCTTCAGGCCGGGGCGACTCACTGGGTCACCAGACCTTGGCTGAGGGCCGGCTGGGCTGCGGCCCGCCCCGAACCCCCTTTCCTCGTCTCCATGGTAACTCGTGTCCTACTTTAAACCAGAAGTGACAATTTGAAATTTGACGTACATTTCTCACTTTTTAAAAATTGGAAAAGCTTATCCGGCGTTTGAGAGAGCAACGGAGCCCTGCTGTTTCACGCGCAGGAGGGCGGGCGGTGGGCCCTCGTCGGCCAGGACCTGCCTTGCGTGTCCACTCGACGAACCCGAGAGGCGTCGTCTCCTCTCGGGCGTCTGCTCGCGAGTTCCCGCGCCCGGCACGGAGCCAGCGCCCGGCCAGTGCCACCGGGTAAGCACACGCGCCGGGCGCGCTGGCGACCACGGCGTCCCACAGCCCCCGGCCTTTGGAGAACTTGGGTTCAGGTACTTACCCCTCATGCTCCTTGGCACTGGCCCGAAGGAATCAAAAACTTATTTCCACAAACCAAGACGTCCTTCAGCGGAGGGTGGGTGGACACGCGAGGCCCCTGCGGACCGCGGCACGCATGTCACTCGGCGCTGGGAGGCGTGAGCCCCGGGCCGGGAGGTGCGTGAGGAGCCGTGACTGCATGTCCCTTGGAGGAGGGACCAGCCTGAGAAGGCGGCTGCGCGCTGCGGGGTCCAGCCACGCGCCCTTCCGGAACAGGCAGACCGAGGAGCCGGTGGGAAGATCCGGGGTGGCAGACGCTGGGAGGGGTGAGGAGGGAGGGCCCGGCGGTGCAGGGAGGGGTCTGGGGCGGCGAGCGTCCTCTGGATGAGGCCGTGTGTCCAGCCCACGGGGCACACAGACCAGGAGTGAGCCCTGCGCCCGCTGCGGGCGCTGCGTGACCATGGCGTGTGCGTGTGGGCTCCGCGGCTGTGCCACGTGCACCGCCTGGTGGGGACGCTGACAGTGGGGGCTGCGCGCGTGGGGGGCCGGGGGGACACGGGGCCCCTCCGTCCCCTCCGCCCAGTTCTGCTGCGAACCTAAAACTGCTCCGGAAACGAACCCTTGGCCGCAGAGGCGGGAGGCACCTCGGGGGGTGCGGACAGACGAGTGTCCTCGGAGCGGAGAGTGAGCCAGCGTGCCTCGCGGCCGGACAGAGGAATGGGGCTCGGGGCTCGCCGACCGGTGGCTGCTTGTCTCCCAGGATGTGGGCGACGCCCCCCCCCCGCCCCGGATTTTACAGGGTGCCCTGCCGGCCCTTCGAAGGGGGCCCAGTGAGCCCGGCCGGCGCGCTGCACCCCGGCATTTCTGCAGGCTCCGTGCACTGGCTGCTTCCCCCGGAGCCGGAGCCAGAGCCAGAGTCGGAGCTGGAGCCGGAGCCGGAGCCGTGCACGTGCGGCGTGGTCCCCCGGTGAGCGGCGCAGGGGGCGTGTGGCGGTCCGACCTCTCGTGCTCCCCGAGGGCCCCCGGCCATCCCGGCCTGGGCGTTTGCTCACTGTCACCCCACCCGGTGTCCACCGTAAAAGTGAACCCTCCTGTGTGTGTGTGTGGGGGGGCTTCTGCACGTCCGAGGTGGGGGGGGGCAGTAATCTGCGTACAGGCACAGCCTCCGGAGACCGGTTCCAGCTCTGAAACTCTCTGCTCCTTTCTCCCTTATTTCCCCTCCGCCTCTGGCCCACCCCCCTCCCCCAGCCCCGGGAACAAGTACCGTGGCCGTGACCAGCCCAGAAGCGGCCGCACGGGGCTCCCGGGGAGGGAGCTGCTGGGCCCCCCTCCCGACACGAAACGTGCCTGAGCTGTGTCAGCCCCACGTCCAGGCCCGGGGCCCCGGGGCCCAGGGAGGAGTCTCGGCTCATATCGAGGGATGGGGGGGGGCCGTGTGCGTGCTCTAGTGTGAGGAGTGCACACACACACACACGCACACACACGTGCACACACATGCACACACATGTACACACATGCACACACATGCACCTCCCCACCTTGGGGCAGCGTGTCTGGTGACGACGTGTATCTCATGGCTGAACACCGACCCCTCACTTGGTCTTTGCTGAACTGAGAGACGAAGCGTTCTCTAAAACTGAAAGGCACATCAGGAATAGACCAGGGACAAGTAGAATTAATGGTTATAGACCCGTTTCCATAGAAGTGGACTCGTTAGCCAGCGTGCCCGCCGACCCCATGGAAAAGCCCCCACCCCCAGTTTGAGAGCAATCCCTCGAAGTAAGAACGTACCCGTGAAAGTGACTCCAGCCTGACGGTCATTCCCCTCGTCGCCGCGCTCGGGCAGGTCCCGGAGGTGGCCCTGCTCCTGGCCTGGACGGCCGGGGAGGAGGGGCCTCGCACAGGCCCCGCCCCCTCTGGCCGAGGGTCTCAGCCCCAGACCAGGGTGCGCCCGGCAGGATCACACGCTGGCACCAGAGGGAGCGCCGCCCTCTCTCCGTCCGTCCGCGCTGGACGGGAGATCCGAGATCTGATCTGGGCGGAGAGAGCGCCTTCTAGAGGGGGCTCAGCAGACGGGCGTGTGGGGGCCCCTGGGCCCACACAGGGGACTGCAGAGGGGCACGGATGGGACATAGGGGGACGGAAGCTGGGACCTCAGTGCCCGAGCTCCTGAGATGGTCCTGAGATGCCCCCTGAAATCCAAACTTCAGCCCTTCCTTTGTCTCTTCTCCGCCTTTTCCCTGGAGCTGCCCAGGCACGCAGGGTCCCCGGTAGGGGTCCCACCGGCGCCCACCCGCCCCCTCGTGAGGCCAGGAGTCAACGCACACGCTCCCCACGTGCGAAGGGGCCTCCCGATGGATCCACGAGGACTCGAGGCCGCCGCGCCCCACGCCCGGGGGCGGCTCCGCGGGCAGGCCCCGGCTGGGTTTGCCCGTGGGGGCCCGTGGGCGGTTCGGGAACCGTGTCCTCGATGGTTTCGGCACCATCGCAGTCTGTGTCCCCAGTTCTCCGCAACGTACAGCGCGAGTTCACATCCGGTCCCTCGTTTTACCCCGCAGCTGTCCCGGCAGCGGGCAGGTGACTGATCGCCCGCCCATTTTCCGGGTGGGGAGACCGAGGCGGGAACCATGGGAGTGACTGGCGCGGGGTAGGAGCAGGCCAGCGGTTCCGTCCGCGGCGTCCACGCGGCAGCCACGGCCACGTGTGGCTGTGGAGCACTTGGGAGGAGGCTGCTGTTGGGGAGGAACGGGAGGGTTAGTTTGGTTTATTTTTGAGGGAAGTTCATTTGAGTGCAAGCAGCCACGTGGGGCTGGGGGCTGTTGCACTGGGCTGGGGGCACCCGAGTTCCTCCAAAGCTGCACTAAGGGGGCAGAGGTCGGACCCGGCCCGTTCTCTGTGGAGTCCAGCGCGGCCCGTTGTGCAGAGAACTCGGCCCCGGGCGGCCGGCTCCGCCAGCACCCCTGCTGTGCGTGTGCATGGCCTCGGGCGCCTCTGGCGTAGGCGCGGCCGGCGGCCGGTCCTGGGTGTCTGCCGCTCTACGACCCCCGCGGAGGGGCGCTGTCCGGGGTCCGGGCCTCCCAGCCCCTTTCGGGCCCGGCAGGCCCACGGGCGGGAAGGACACAGGTCGGCTGGCGTGCCTCGGACCCAAGGAGCTGCCGTGACTGGCTCGGTCAGCCTGCTGTCACAGCCCTCGGACCCGGGCAAGGCGAGTCTCCTGTGCGGGCACGGCCTCAGTCCCCACGTCTGTGTCCGTGACGGTGGGCTCCCGTGCGCACAGACCCGGGGTAACACCTGTCGTTGCCACCTGTGTGCGCCTCGCCCACCTGGTTCCCCCTCCGAGTGCACCTGCGAAGCCGTGGCTGCAGGTGGCTCCTACCGCCGCGCTGCAGGCTGACGAGAGGAAGAGCTGATGGCTGCAGTTCATCCTGTCACTCGCAGTTTGTGACGTCCCTGGGTGTCCTCGGTCTTGAGTGTGGTGCCCAGAGACCCTAGAGCGCAGAGAGCTGGACCCATGCACCCAGCGGCCGGCAGCCCCAGTAGAAGCAGGAACCCAGGCCGGGCCTCGCGGCTGGAGCAACGGTGCAAGTGGAGGAAGCTCAGGGGCAGCTCTGGGGGTGGTGCGTGAGTGGTGGCGTGTGCACGCGTGGGGTGGGGGCAGCTCTGTGCGTGGGGTGTGCACACAGGGGAGGTGCCACCCGTGGAAGGCCAGCTGCTTCCCCGGGGCCCTGACAGTGGCTGGTCACCGCTCTGAGCTCGGGCCAGAGACGACGGGCAGCCTGGACACTGGGCTCTGGTGGCGCTCGGTGACGCTTCCTCTGGTTGACCGCGAGGAGTGTGGCCATTTCGTGGTGCTCTTGACCCTGTGCGGAGCCTCGGGTGCGAAGTCACACTTGGACGTGTGCTTGTCTTCCAGGGTGAACGGCTCCTTCTCTGAGATCTTGCAAGTGGACTTCGGCGTGGACAACAGCAGCGGCCTGGCCGGGGCCCAGGCCATCACGTGGCAGGTGGAGTACCCGGCGGAGGAGTCCCGGAGCCAGCTGGCCGTCTCCGAGATCTTCGTCAGCCAGACCAGCTACGTGGGCATCGTCCCCCTGGCCATGGTGAGGGGCGTGGGCTTCAGGAGGGGGGTCTCCGCGTGCTCGTGGGGTCCCTCGGACACGCGGCGTTTCCCCGCCTGCTCCTTCCCGTGCGCCAACCTGGACATACTTAGAGTCCTCGGGACAAATCCCCTTTTCTCTCTGTGGATGTCACTGAGCTGGTTCCCGGGGAGGCCCTCTTCTCACCGTGTCAACCTGTGTGCGTGTCAGACCAGGTGCGGCGCTGAGCAAAGACGGTTTCGTTGAACGGCGCTGGGGGGTGGGTGTGCACGGTGGGAACAGTGGCTCCCTCTGCTGAGTGACCACCCCCCGGGCAGCCAGCTCTGCCCTGAGGGTTCCCCGGTGGCTCGGGATCGGCACACTTTAAAATGCAGGTGGATCCACAGGGTCTTGTTGGGACCCGCGCAGCGGGACCTGGCCAGGGCCCCAGCGTCCGTCAGACCCTCTTGCGTCTTTGTTGCATTGGCCTGGAGGGGTCCGGATGTCTCGCTGGAGCTTGCGGCCGAAGCCCCATTCACGACTGGGTTCAGGGGCTGCACCCGAGAGCAGGACGACGTTCCAGCACGTAGAAAGGAGGGTGCTGGTGGGTCGCCGGGGTGGTCGGCCCCTGGGGGTGGCGTGTTCTGGGTACCCTTTTCCACACCAGAGATATTCAAATACACATTCAGTTCTGTGCTGTTTTGACCCACCCAGATATCCCCAGGCAATCTGTGGGTGCTTTTGTCTGGCACGCTCAGGTGGGTGCCAGGGTTAAGGTCATTGCAAACGAAACCCTGTACCCTACGACTGGCTGTGCTGTTCGAGCGCCCTGCTTCTCAGGCAGGCGGCTCCTGTGAGTCGCGCACGCTGCACGCCTCTGGCTGTCGGTGTCTCTGCAGCCAGCTGATCTCCCCTCGGGGGCGGCTTCTTGCATTTGGCTTTAATTCCCATTGGCTAGGAAGTGCCGTGTTGGAAGGTGGAGTGGGGTTGTGTGTTACAATGTACCTCTCCGATTGGCTGAATGGGGTCATGTATTACAATGTAACTCTTGAATCTGTTGAGTGGGGTTGTGCATTACAATGTAACTCTTAGATTGGTTGAGTGGGGGTCATGTGTTACAATGTAACTCCTGGGCTGGCCAGTACAGTAGTGTGTTACAATGTTACCCTTTGAGCATGAGGAAGAGCGACTCTGACATGGCTCAAAGGGCCCTGAGCTGTTAGCAGAGTGCAGTGGGACCAGAGTCGGTAGTTCATCTTTGTTTAATCAGCCGTCATGGCTTCTTTTCAAACCTGCCTCTGCTGAAGGGCGGGCAGCCTTCGGGGGGACTGTGTCTGCTCCCGCTTGGAGTGGACGTGCTCCTTCCCTCCTTCGCCGTGGCAACGAACCCCAGACAACACTTGCATGAGGTGAGGGTACTAGTGTCCTTGCCCAGAGAATGCCCCCCCCCCAAAAAAAAAGTGGGTCCTGTTATCCTGGGGATTCACCCCAGCCAGGCCTGTGATTTAGAACTTGGCCACCACGTTGTGTGACCCTGGCCTGGGTCGGATGCTGCGGATGCCTCTTGGGTAGCAAACCAGCCTGTTCACTCCTCTGTGAAGGTCAGTGTGCAGCTTCGTATTGGGGGGGGGTGCCTGGGAGTGCCGCGGAGAGACCCCAGGCACGGGAGCTGGTGCAGCGGACCAGGCAGGAGAGCCACGGTCGTGTCCCCATCTGTCCATCCATTCATCCGTCCATCCACCCTCCCACCCATCTGGTCAGTCGCTATGCAACGGACGTTTGTCCAGCACACATCGTGTGCTGGGTCCATTACTTTTCGGGGAGTGGAAAGGGAAAGAGCGGAACTGGTGGAGATTCGGGGGTGAACTCGCCAGGCCTCGGAAGCCACTGGCGTCTAACAGTCCCAGCTCTGGCAGGGCAGCACAGATGGCGGAAACTCCAAAAACGCCGTCTCAGAAAGGGCATCCGAACACGAGGGGCTCCACGTCCCAGGGCGACGGCCACAGCGCTGTCTGCGTTCTGCATCGTCTCTGAAACCCGAAACTCAGCTCCGGCCGGATGGCTCGGCCGGTGGGAGCGGGAGCGCCGCCCCGTGCACCCAAAGGGTGGGGTCTGGTCCCTGGTCGGGGCGCCGGTTCGGGAGGCAGCCTGGTACATGTTTCTCTCTCACACCGGTGCTCCTCTTCCTCCCCCTCCCGCTTTCCCTCTAAATCCGCACACGTACCCTCAGGCGAGGACTGAAACCCAACGCTGACCAGTGCTCTGGCGCTGCCCCTCGGCGGCTGGGACATGCCGGTGACTGTTCCCGTTCTTTCCTCTTCTCCCTCGCGCGTCTGCGGAAGCGCAGTTTCCTGTTCCTCCCCGGCCCCGTGCCCCGTGCCCCGTTCCTCCTGCCACTCCTCGTGGGTTTTCCGTGTGTCGGCCGAGCTTGGAGCCTGGAGACAGTGTCCACGGGCGGCTGGGAGTTGGGGGCCGCAGCCCCTCGTCCAGCACGGTTCTCAGCCTCGGAGCCCCTGCAGATTGAAAACCCGTTGTCCTCCCACGAGGGAGGAGTCAGCGCATGAACCCGAGTGGTGAGTGTCTGGGCGACAGGGCGCACGGGCTCAGCTGCGGGGACAGCAGGAGGAGACTCGAGCCCTCGGTGGCCGCCGGGACCTGAGGCGTGACAGCGAGGCCGGGCGCCGCAGCCCCGGAGGGCCCTCCCTTTCCCTTGTCCTCTCGCAGCCGAGGAGGCCGACCGGTGCGGCTCTTCCCTGGGCGTTGGGGCTGTGGCACCGGGCCCTCGCTTGCTCTGAGTGTCCCGGCTGTGGGCCCCGAGGTGGCCGTGAGCCACTCCTGTCGTCCCAGTGAGACCCCCAAGTGCGCCCGCAGGGGGCCCTCATTTCCCGGGGTGATTGTGCCTCACGGCCCCAGGCCGACAGTGGACTTGACCTGGTGAGCCTCCGGCTTCCCGTCCGCGGGGCTTCCCCCCCCCCCGCCCCCTCAGGTGGCTCCTGCCCTTCGTCCCCTTGCTCTGAGTGCAGCTGGGCCTGGCGGCGGAGCCTGTGTCCTGGGAGCCCCAGCTCTGACTGGGACAAAGGAGGGGAGGTCCAGCGGGTGTCCCGCGGGCCCCTCGGCGTCTGTCCCCTGAAGCAGGAGGGCCCCCCGGAAAGACGGAAGGCTTGGGAATGAGTCGTTTTGGGCGGCAGCAGGGGGGACGGCCGTCAGCCGGCGGCCTGTTCCGGGGGCCGGTCTGATCTGCCGGGGCTGCCGGCCGAGGGGCCCCGCCAGAAGGCTGCGAGCGGCAGGGGCGCGCCCTCTCCCGGCTCGGGAGTTCGTCGTCGAGGTGTCGGCAGGGCCACACGCCCTCCAGAGGCTCCGGGCTCCCCATCCTCCCTGCCCCTCCCGGCCCCCCCAGGGGCTCCCGGCCTCCCTCCCTCCCCCCTTTGTGGCCCCACTCCTCCAGTCTGTGCCTCTGCCTGCACAGGGCTGTGTCTGTCCGCCTCTGTGTCCTGTCTGTAGGAGGACGCCGGCCGTTGGACTCAGATCCCACCCTCGTCCAGTGGGACCTCACGTCCACTAGTTCTGTGCGTGGGGAGGCGGACGTCCCGGTGGACGCGAGGGTGGGTGGGGGGCGCAGTGTCCAACCCACTTCGGGTGCAGGAAGCAGGAGTCGGCTCCGCCTGTCACGTGCACCTGTCACCTTTGACCTGGATGGGGTTTGGGCGGCTTAGCCCCATGCCCCCCGAGTCCCTGGGGACACCAGCGCTGTGGGTGGTGACCCCACAGGGCTGCTCGGTCTGCAGTGGACTCAGCCGCAGGGGACCCGAGTGCTGCCGTGCTGGTGGGGCTCTGCCGGGGCTAGAAGAGTCTCCGGGGACTCTGGGGGGGGTTTCAGGGGGAAGTGTGACGTCACAGGTCTGTGCAGAGGCCCGCGGGCCTGTTCTTGCACCCAAACTCGCATGCCGGCTGGCACAGCCACCCGTCGGGGACCGCACACGGCCCCGGGCGGCAGGCGTCCCGCGTGGCCCTGGCACAGCTCCGCCCCCCAGGGCCCCCCTGTCCCAGAGGGAGCCCGGCGGGCCTCCCGCGCGCACACGCTGTCTCCTTGGTCGCGCACACGCGGCCTCCCCGGCCGACCCGCCGCTCGCCGCCGAGAGGAGCAATTTGAAGCTGCCGAGAGCGGAGTCCGGCGGGCGCACGTCACAAGGGACCAGAAAGAACCGTCTCGGTTGACCGAGACTAAAGCCGTGCACTTAGCGAGCGCCGGCGGGCGGAGGGCGGCCCCCCAGCGCCCAGCGCTCACCCCGCGCGTGTGTGGCACCTGCGAGGACAGTCCCCAGCCCGTCACCGCCGTGGCCCTGGGGCTGGACCCAGCTGTTAGGTCATTTCCCAGCTTGCCCTTGAAGCGTCCCGCCGTGGAGGAAAGGCTCGCCCGCGGGGAGGGAGCCCCTGGAGCCAGCCAGCCGCGCGGAACAAGGGGGAGAGAACACCCACGGGAGCGTGCGGTTCTGCTGCCCGAGTCTGCGTGCGCCGGAGGACCTGCGGACGCCCGGGTCGGACGAGGAGCGGGACGGACGGACCCCGGACACAGGCCCCGAGGGACGCCAGTGGCTGCCAGGCGGGGGGACGGGGGATGGGGCCCGGGGGTTTCTGTGGCGGCGGGAGCGTGCGGGTGGATTTCTAAGGCTCTGCACACGCCGTGGGTATTTAGGGCCCGTCTCGAGAGACCGGCCGTCAGGGGCCCCTGCTGGAGAGCTGCCCACGCCACGGGGCGACGGCCCGAGGGACAGCACGGCGCGCGACCGCCCGAAGGTTCCACGCTCGTCTCTCGCACACCCGTCTCTCCCACGCCCGCACACACCGTCCCCAAAGGTGATGGCCCTGAACTTCCTTTTCCCTGAACCCGGACTCACCGGCGACAGTCCCTGGGGTGCCCACTAGATGGCGCTCACACACCAGCCTGTGGCCTCCCTGGCCCTGCCCTCCCCTCCCCCAGGAGCTGCCTGGACACCGCCCCTGGCCCGTCCCTGCCCCAGGGAAGG